AAGAGGAGGAGGAGGAGGAGGAGAAGGAGGAGGAGGAGGAGAAGGAGGAGGAGGAGGAGGAGGAGGAGGAGGAGGAGGAGGAGGAGGAGGAGGAGGAGGAGGAGGAGGAGGAGGAGGAGGAGGAGGAGGAGGAGGAGAAGAAGGAGGAGGAGGAGGAGAAGGAGGAGGAGGAGGAGGAGAAGAAGGAAGAGGAGGAGGAGGAGGAGGAGGAGGCGGAGGCGGAGGCGGAGGCGGAGGCGGAGGCGGAGGAGGAGGAGGAGGAGGAGGATAAAGAAGGAGGAGGAGGAGGAGGAGGAGGAGGAGGAGGAGGAGGAGGAGGAGGAGGAGGAGGAGGAGGAGAAGAAGGAGGAGGAGGAGGAGAAGGAGGAGGAGGAGGAGGAGAAGGAGGAAGAGGAGGAGGAGGAGGAGGAGGAGGAGGAGGAGGAGGCGGAGGCGGAGGCGGAGGCGGAGGCGGAGGCGGAGGCGGAGGCGGAGGAGGAGGAGGAGGAGGAGGAGGAGGAGGAGGAGGAGGAGGAGGAGGAGGAGGAGGAGGAGGAGGAGGAGGAGGAGGCGGAGGAGGAGGAGGAGGAGGAGGAGGAGGAGGAGGAGGATGGGGAAGTGTAGAAGGAGAGGAGGATAAAAAAGAGGACGAGGGGGAACAAGAACATTCTAAGAACAATAGCAGCAACAAAGAGAATAAGAATGAGCGTAAGAATAAAAAATAAGAATAGTCAACATATCACTTTTCAACTTGCGCGCGTCAGCCAACATGATCAAAACATGTTCGCCGCTGGACATCCAAGTGCTGTTATTAGATCCACGAAATTAATGCAGCTGCCAGTTCTTGCTCTAAAGGATAAATGGATCGATCGAACTCCCATAAAAACCCGGAGAGAGAGAGAGAGAGAGAGAGAGAGAGAGAGAGAGAGAGAGAGAGAGAGAGAGAGAGAGAGAGAGAGAGAGAGAGAGAGAGAGAGAGAGAGAGAAGAGAGAGAGAGAGAGAGAGAGAGAGAGAGAAGAGAGAGAGAGAGAATAGAGAGAGAGAGAGAATAGAGAGAGAGAGAGAAGAGAGAGAGAGAGAGAAGAGAGAGAGAGAGAGAGAGAGAGAGAGAGAGAGAGAGAGAGAGAGAGAGAGAGAGAGAGAGAGAGAGAGAGAGAGAGAGAGAGAGAGAGAGAGAGAGAGAGAGAGAGAGAGAGAGAGAGAGAGAGAGAGAGACGGAGTGAATAGAGGGATGGAGAAAGAGAAAGAGGTAGGGGAGAGTGAGAGGGAGGGAGGGAGGGAGAGGGAGAGAGAGAGAGAGAGAGAGAGAGAGAGAGAGAGAGAGAGAGAGAGAGAGAGAGAGAGAGAGAGAGAGAGAGAGAGAGAGAGAGAGAGAGAGAGAGAGAGAGAGAGAATAGAGAGAGAGAAATAGAGAGAGAGAGAGAGAGAGAGAGAGAGAGAGAGAGAGAGAGAGAGAGAGAGAGAGAGAGAGAGAGAGAGAGAGAGAGAGAGAGAGAGAGAGAGAGAGAGAGAAATAGAGAGAGAGAGAGAGAGAGAGAGAGAGAGAGAGAGAGAGAGAGAGAGAGAGAGAGAGAGAGAGAGAGAGAGAGAGAGAGAGAGAGAGAGAGAGAGAGAGGAGAGAAATAAACTAACCGACCTTTTGTCCGCAACATGATCACGCAGCCGCCGCCAGCGAGGTTGTGTGTGAGTGATGTCGGTCGAGTGTTGTTTCTGGAACTGACTCTGTGCCTCTTTAATTCGGTCTGTTTCACGCTCTCGCTTTTTCTTTAACTTGGCTTCTTCCACCTTCGCGCTCTCTTTGTTTCTCTGCCTCTTTCTTTCTGTCTGTCTGCCATTCCCTCCCTTATTCCTTCTCTTCCTCCTTGCTTCCTTCCCTTCTCCCTCCTTCCCTCCTTTCTTCCTTGCTTCCTTCCCTTCCCTCTTCATTCCCTCCCTTCCTCCCTGCTTCCATCCCTCCCTCTGAGAGAGAGAAAGAGAGAGAGAGAGAGAGAGAGAGAGAGAGAGAGAGAGAGAGAGAGAGAGACAGAGAGAGAGAGAGAGAGAGAGAGAGACAGAGAGAGAGAGAGAGAGAATGAGAGAGAGAGAGAGAGAGAGAGAGAGAGAGAGAGAGAGAGAGAGAGAGAGAGAGAGAGAGAGAGAGAGAGAGAGAGAGAGAGAGAGAGAGCGAGAGAGCACGGCAGCACATCTCTCAGTCTCATCTCCTTCGCAAATGAGAGATGAATATTAGAAAGAAGAGGAAAATGTATGATAAAATTAAACGAAAATTGTAGGAAAAAAACAGACGAAAGGTTAGAAAAAATGTCAAACAGTCTAAAAAGAAAACATTACAAGAAATAAAAGCATCAAAGAGAAAAGAAAAGGAAATGAAAAAAAATCTTACATGAAAGATACAGAAAAAAAATTGGGAATAAGAAGAGAAAGGAAGAGAGAAGGAAAAAATCTCAGAACGAAAAAGAGGGAAACGAAAAGAGAAAAAAGAAAAAAAATCGGAAAGGAAGCCTCTCCCGGAAGATGATCGGCCGGGGCGCCTCGCGCGGGCGCCTCCTCCCGCCGGCGCCTCCATTTGATATCGGCAAAATGAGAATGTGAATTGGAAACATCAAATATACTTGGGCCGATAGAGCGGAAATTAATTAAATCAATCTGATCACACAAAATGACTGAGCGATGTTG